CAGGGACTTGCTCAAAATAATCTAGGCCCTGGAGAAGTAGGTGGTGGTACAGATGAGCTAAGAATGAGCCATTAGTTGGTAACTGCTGGAAACTGGGTAATGGGTAAATGGGGATTCATTACACCAGTAGCCTTGTAGTCTTGTAGTCTCCAAATACAACCAATAAATGTTATTGTTAAGGTCATAAACTCACTAATTTTAACATAATTGGTGTATTCCAATAAATATAATGCTCAAATTAGCCCAATTTTAGCCAGCCTTTTTTTTTTTTTTGTCAGAATCTTGTAGGCTTTTATCACTTCCCTTGTTTTCTAAGTATGAAAAATGTTCCAAATTCATACTTTATTTTTTCTGACCCACATCTCCTATCAGCTTTTTCTTTAGTGTGCCCAGGTTTATTTTGTGGAAACATGGAAAATGATATTGAGAGAAAACCCTAAAGTGTTAGGGGTGCTTACTGTTACTAAGTTGATCATTGCTTTTCTAGCCCTTTTTAGTGGACAGAGCTAGGAATTTTTTTTCACAAACTCAAACTGATACTTCCAGTTCAAATCCAGAAACTATAGGATTTTATTTACCCTCACCAGTCTTACTTCAGTATCTGCTTTCACCTAGCCAAAAATCCTAGTTATTTAAAAACACTAGTGAAAATGCTCAGAATAGCCATACCAACACTACAAAGAGTTTTAAAATTTCTTTTTTACATTCTTTTGTTCGTAAACCTATTTTCTTCTTTTTAAATGACAATTTTATTGAGATATATTTCACATATTGTAAAGTTCACCCTTTTAAAGTGTAGAATTCAGTCATTTTTAGTGCAGAGCTGTGCAACTGACTAATCTAATTTCAGAATTTCAGAACATTTTCATCACCACAAAAAGAAACCCATGCCCATTAGCAGTCACTCCTATTCCCCTCCCCATGTCTCATGGCGACCACTAATCTTCTTTTATTTTCTCTTGTGGCTATTTCATCTAAATGGAATAATATAATATGTGGCCTTTTTGTGACTGGCTTCTTTCACTTAGCATAATGTTTTCAAGTTTCATCCATGTTGCAGCATGTTTTATTGCTTCATTCCTTTTTTGAGAGGGCGATCACGTGCATGTGCCTGAGCAGGGGAGGGGCAGAGGGAAAGGGGGAGAGAATCTCAAGCAGGCTCCACACCCAGTGCCGGGCTCAATTCCAGGACTGAGAGATCATGACCTGAGCCAAACTCAAGAATTGGACACTTAACCAACTGAGCCACCCAGGTGCCTCTTTTCATTTTTCTTTTTTCTTTTCTTTTCTTTTCTTTTCTTTTCTTTTCTTTTCTTTTCTTTTCTTTTCTTTTCTTTTCTTTTCTTTCCTTTCTTTCCTTTTCTTTTCTTTCCTTTTCTTTTCTTTTCTTTCCTTTTCTTTTCTTTTTTTGAAGTACGCTCTATGCCAATTCGGGGCTTGAACTCACAATCCCGAGATCAAGAGTCACTCAGCCAGCTAGGCGCCCTATTTCATTCCTCTTTATTGCCAAATAATACTGCCAAACATTATATGAATATAACATTTTGTTTTTCCATTCATCATTTTATGGGCATTTGCATCTTTCAGGTTTTTGGCTGTTATAAATAATGTCACTATAAACATTTGGTCATAGGGTTTTGGGTTTTTTTAATACTTTCTTGTCAAGTTAGCTAATACATAATGTGGTCTTGGCTTCAGGAGTAGATTCCTGTGATTCATTAGTTACATACAACACCCAGTGCTCATCCCAACAAGTGCCCTCCTCAATGTCTATCACTCATTTTCCCCACCTCCCAAACCTCCCACCCCCATCAACCCTCAATCTGTTCTCTGTATTTAAGAGTCTCTTATGGTTTGCCTCTCTCTGTTTGTAACTTATTTTTCCTTCCCTTCCCTGATGGCCTTCTGTTAAGTTTCTCAAATTCCACATATGAGTGAAAACGTATGATGTCTTTCTCTGACTGACTTATTTTACTTAGCATAATACCCTCCAGTTACATCCACATTGTTGCAAATGGCAAGATTTCATTCTTTTTATCACCAAGTAGTATTCCATTTTGTGTGTGTGTGTGTGTGTATATGTATGTATGTTGTATT